TGACAGAAAGTAATTACCAAAGATGTAACTGTTGAAACACTGCTAGCCAACATATAGAAAGAATTCTTAATATTCTACATTCATAAAAACAGTCAAAACTGCACCAAAGATCTTGACATACAACTCACCAAAGAAGATTTATAAATGGAAAATTAGCATAGTGAGAAATGGTCCACATTAGATGTCAGGAAACAGCAAATGGAAAGAATGTGATGGCACTGCACTCCTATCAGAAATGTTGAAATCTAAAATGCTGACAGGGGTTCTGGCAAGGATATGAAGCAACAATTCTGCTCCCACATTACCGAAATACTATGTGGTGCAGACACTATATAAGAGAGATAAACAATTTCTTATAAACGTTATGTCCTCACCATATGATCTAGCAGCAATGGAAGTTTACATCTGTATATAATCCTACATGTGGTTTTTTTATCATGAGGTTATTTTAAGAATTGTTAGATCTTTTCTGAGGTTAAATCATTAAACTGTGAGACATTTGGACACTGAAATACTACTCAATGAAAGAGCATTGTCTGTAAAAATGTGATAAGACATGGATGTGTTGCTGTGTCTTGACAAATACTTCACATCACACACATTTAACTTCACTGAACAATTATGACAATAAAAATGCAGTGAAGCTTATTGCCAGAATAGACAATTACATGCCAACATCTTGACCTTCTGGAAAAGGCAAAACTATAGTAACAATGAAAAGATTAGTGACTACTAAATGTTGAAAAAAAGGAAAGGCATATGTGGGTGATATAGAGTTAACACATTCATCTCTCGTGGAAATTGAAATAACTTGGAAGTTCTTTACACATGGGAGATACACAGCAGTATATCTTGGAATTTTCTACTATATGATGCTGTGAGAGTAATTCCATTTAAACAATTCTCCCCCCCCCCCCACACACACACACAAACACATGCAAACAAAACTGGTAAAAATTATCTGCCCACCAGTAAACTGACAAGATAAATTGATATATATTTTGTATATACTTCCATTTCCACATGAAATTTTCATCCATAGATGATTTAGTAATGTAATAATCATCTTTAAGACATTTTACCTAAATCAATTCTGTAATCACAGATTAAATTCAAAATATTTATTTGCAAAGCCAAAAACATCATTTTACAAATTTAGATTCAGCAAAGTGTGTAAGTGTTCAAGTAGGGTAATTGAAAGACTGTATCACTAAATGTTTAAACCCACTCACTGCTCTGAACTCTCCTTTTACAGTCATCATTATTTACCTGTATATCAGACATCCCCCTTGTTCCATCTTACTGGCCAAGCCCTTCTGTCCAAGGCAGTATCTATTTCAGGAGTCAAATAGTTCCATACTGGGAACCCATTCCCTGTAAGACTTCAGACCTATGATTTGACTCTAAATTTCTAAGATTTGCAGTAACCTTATGCTGAGTGTCATATGGATGAACTACACAGTAACCTACTATTTTACCTGGACCAAGAATTGCACTCTTCAAATAAGTTGTCACCTAGACATTCCAGTATACATTTTAGTTCCACGGTGCTGTACATGTCAGCGATGCTAGAAGTCTCCTGGTATGGTGAAGAGTGGTCTATTTCTTTCCACGGAGATGATTAACACTTTGTATAACAATTTTGTTTGCTATCTTGCCACTTCCCTTCTGGGATCTAAGAATCTCTAGCCCTACCACCAGCTATGTGGTGATTCCTCTGCCTGCAGGTGTTCTGCTCAATAGCCGTGAAACTGACACTCTCAGACCCTGCAAACACCACAGCCCAATGGATCAAATATCTTTATCCATGAGGCCTAGTGCTCATTTTCTCAAAACGACTTTGAGGGCCATAAACCCATGGCGCTGATACCTATTCCCTGCTACCACTGGTGAACAAGGAGTGCGAACTGCTTTCCCTTCTAATGGACTTATTCTCTACCATACAGAATACACTTGTTAGGAGTATGTTTTTCACACCGTTCTAGGCCCACTGCCTTGCTAGCCCCAAATAACACACAGAAACACTGTATTTGATATAAATGCTAATGGCCAGTTACTTGTTTCTTATCGGCTAGATCTGTCTTAAATATTAACCCATTTCTATTAATCTAATTACTTCCACATGGTCTTTTCTTACAGGAGAGAGGGGCTGGCCTTTTTTTCTCTCCGTCCTCCATCTTGGAACTCCTCCCTACTACCTCTTCTCTCCTCCTTGTCCTCTAGCCCTGCCTATTTTGCTTTCCTATTGGCCAACAGTGCTTTATTCATTAACCAATATGAGAAACGTATTTACAGAATGACATCTCCCATCACACACTCAATATTTTCTGTAACTTGTGGTCCATAGATTAGATTTAGTCTTTTCCTCCACTAAAATTTCTCATCTATCTCTTTCAGCAACCCTCAGTATTCAGCCTCTTGTTTTATTCCATTTTCCCCTACTGTAACTAAAACTCAAATCTTATATGAATAGCCCTATTCTAAGTTCCCATTTTTAAAAGCCTGTTTTAATTTTGTTTATACCTGCAAAGCTATGGCTCAGCACTCCTGACTCCTAGAGAACACTTTCTTCAGTCTTCCAAAATTTCTGGTTCTTCACATTGCTAGAACTTATATTATGGTTTAAATTACTAAAATTACTAATTTTCAGTGAGTCTAAGGTTGAATTTCCTAGTCACATTTGTGGAATAATGGTGTTATTTGATTCATTCCTGGGAGGAAACTATTAAGAAATGTGAGCTGATGTCAGTTTTTCAGACCAAGTCACTTAAAGAAGCCTGTGCTCTCTGTCCCAATGTTGTTAGATAGATAGAGATGACAAAGCAAGCCTGGGAGATATTGAAGCCACAGGAAAGAACCAGGCTAGGTCAATAAATCACCACTTAGATGAAACGTAGTCATTAGTTGGCCAGGGCCACATGCTCTGGGCAAGAGAGAATACTTCCTGGCAATAGAACTCTCCTTTTGTGAGCCACTGAGAAATTATTTTTGTACCCAGCTTTTAATAATCTTGGCTATAAATAACAAATTCCTTCCCATTGACTTCTATTGTACTCTGGTATTGGAAAATTTTACATATGATAAACATTTCTAGCCCTAGTTTTTCAATTCTAGCCCTAGTTTCATCTACTTATACAATATCTAAAATCATAGCTCCTCAAATATTGACCTCCATTTTTATTTGTTTGCTTCTTTCTTTCAATTGGCTATTCATTCACATAAGCATGATTTGAAATTTTTTCCTTCTCTCAACTCCTTCAAATCATTCATTATTCGTCAATACACAAGGTGATCACAGTCCCTTTTTCGTTGTACATATTTGTTCAATCACTTCAATAATGAGTATTATTTGTTTTCATATTTTCTTAACATACTTTCATACTAACCACACATTACATGGTTGGATTCAAACTTTAATTGAGTAATATCTTGAGTTTCATTGCCCTGAATGTAATTTAACCCAATTTATGTGCCAGTGTCTCAAACATATAATAACTGGGCTGCATGCTGTATCAGTGATGAAATAATAAAATAACAGAATGCTAATGAGTCAGATCATGAAACAGGGAAGAGAAATTCTGATCCAAAAATGAGGCCACTAACCTATGATCCCCCATACTTCCAGAAATACAACAATCAACTAGGCATCTTCTGTCAAATGATGTACCCCAAACTCACATTTCTATATCTAGTCTCTTAAGCATCTTCTATAAATGTCCTAACTCTCAGCATATTCTCAGTAATAGCATATTCATAACTAAGAACACAAAGAGTTAAGTTTCCTGCCATCCTTGATAATCTCCCAGTGTGGCCTTCATCATCTTCCCATTTCAAATATCTGTTGATATGACATTCTAAATACATAATGGCTTTCCATATAGTTCTTACATCCCATGACTCCAAGCTAATAGCATCTTATCTGAGTGCAATTAAGATATTGGAACTTGTTATCATGAATTCCTAGACTCTAAACCCTGTCTAGCCTATTTCTAGTATTCTGCCTTGTTTTTTGCTGACTGAGACTGGATGAACATTATCACAATAAATGGGAGTACAAGTCAATTTGTCTGAATTTTCACAATTCCATATATATATATATATATATATATATATATATATATATATATAGCAAGTATTTATGTCTGAATTATATAAGAAAAAGAAATCTTGAGTTTAGATCCAAACAGGCAGAACTTGAAGAACTCAGTCTCAAATGCCGGATTTTTCAATTTAACTAATTATTTGCTACTAATTATCTTTCCATATTGTGTGCTTCATGGCACACATTTTATTTAACTTGTAATAGACTCAGAATTATCTTTATTTTTAACTAAATTATCTATGAAAGTAGAAAGTGAAGTCCCTTGAAGATGTTCAAGAATTTTCAAAACTGTGTCATTAATTAGCAATATTTTAAATATTATTTCAATTTTATTCATGGAAATGTATAAATGCCTACAATACAAGTTAGTATTGATGTTATGAGTTACCAATACAGTCAACCTGTGAGAAGAAGAGGGATTTAAACAGCAAACATTGATGTAGATTTTTGAATTGCTGTTGTCTATCATTATCATGTATTTTTTACATGTGGGTGTGCTGTGCTAAGCAATATATATATATATATATATATATATATATATATACATACATACATACATACATATATATATATATATATATATATATATATATATACTGTTAGCACCCTTATTTTATAGTTAAGGAAATGGAAGAATAGAAAGGAAACTATCGAGGCCTAGAGGCAAATCCTATTTCTGCAGAATTTCAGAAATTCAGAACATCACATCAACTCTGGATTTGTAGTTAAGGCCTCTATTTTGAGCCTATGCCAAATGTGGAGTGGACTAAAGAGTTTCGTTTTCCAAATAGTATCTGACAATGAGTGATTTTGATTATAATCAGATGAAAATAGAGAACAATATATTTATTACCAAAGTGATCTAAGGGCATATAAGGAACAAATTATTTTGTCTTACCCATGAATTCAATCCCCAAGTGGTCTGCTACATCAAAGTCAGCATGGAAAGAAGGGAAACAGAAAGAGAAATGGATTAGAAAAAATCCAAACAAGGGCATCAGTGCTTGTTAAACTATTCTTCTAAGACACAGTATATGTATCTATTTTAAGTATGTTAGCTTATGACATGTAACTTGTAGACAGTCAACAGCAATAGTTCTTGGTTTTGTGTTATATATGTTTTCCCACAAAGCCTATGAATTATTTCTTGACATTTTATTGGAACAACAATGAGTAAACAACGAAATATACTAAACAGACATTTAAGAAAGAAGGAACAAAGAATTCCTGGTAATGAAACTGTCATAATTCACCATACTTTTTTGTAAATTAATTCTTTGTTCAACATGAATTTATTTGGACCTTTACATTAGCAAGAATGGCAAAATCCCAACCAGGTACACACAAAGGGATGACACTAGACTTTTTTCTTGGACGTGTTATGTGACACAACTGTGCAGTGGCATAACCAAATATCTTGCATAGGTCACAAAGTCCTGCATAGACTGATGGCACAAGTTCAAGTGACCCACAAGCCACATGACTGCCTGTCTTGACAACTCATCCCACCAGAAACAAATAGCAGAGATATCACCATCTGTTCTGTGCTCCCACAGAAACAGAGTCTTGAACAACTAGTTAGTCTGCCTGTGTCCAGCAGAGTCATCAACTCTCCTGGGCTTATTAACTTAAACCATGTCTTCTTTCTTTTAATTGTGTAATTGGGCATTCATTAACTTTGTAAATTCAACATATGACAATAGTATTTTCTTTTACAGAAGTATTCCTTCAGGAATGAAGGCAATTGGGACAAACACACACACACACACACACACACACACACACGAAAAAAGAAAAACAAAACAAAACAAAAAAAACCTACTGCTGAAACTGTATTTGTTTCCAAATCCAATTGCTGACCTCCTTTTACGAGTTTAGTAAACAACTATTTCCTTTTAGAAAACATATGCATACTATTCATTAATATTAGTGCACTTTGGGATACATACACCAAAAAACACACATTTTTGACATTTCAATAATTTTAATTGTAATTACTAAATTCCATACAAATTAAGTTCACAAGGTTGTGTCATCACCACTGTTTTTACAGCTCTTCCATCCCACCAGTCAGAGGCTATGGATTCTCATCTGTCAGGTCTCCTCCCCTAAGCTACAAGCAATCTTATGTTCTGCCTCAATTCAATTTGCTTATGGTTCACTTGAAGTGATTAAAATTCATGTGAATTACAAAATGTCTGCTTTTATAAAGAAAGACGACAGCAGTCTTTCTAAAACATGGATTTATCTCTTTCTCCTCACAGCATTTTTTTTTCACTGCTTGTGCTGTGCTGATATGCACTTTCTTTGTAATCTGTTGATTTTTGTGAAAAGACAGCTTCTTGTTCTCAGTGAATTCTAGCATCATCGGCAGTAGACCACCAAGTCAAATCTCTGGCAAGCCCTCTTAGTAAGTGCCATCCTGAATTCCAATAACAGCAGAGTCCAGAGGCACAGATATTGTTCCCAAAAGGGATGGAAGTTGCTATGCAAAAGAATTATATTTATGAGAAAAAGTGACAAGTGCATGTTCACGTTTTTCTGTAGAGAAGAAGCCTCCAATTATGTGCCCCCAAAACATGCAACATATGCTGCATATACAGAATTTTAAATGAGGTTTGAGTGAGATAAGCTATCATGAAAGTAAGTAAGGTGGTTTGAAAGAAAGGAAATGACATAATTTGTCATTTGCATTAAACAGAAACAAAAGAAAAACAGGAGACAGGAAAATTTAGAAATGAGTAAGCCAAGGCTCTTCTGTGGACCACAAATAATCACCAGCTCAGTTCCTCAAAGAGTGGTGCATAGTTCAAAAGCAGAGACCCTCAAGGAATGGACTACAGGTATTCACAAGCAGAGGATGACAAGGAATGGGCTGCAGGTATTCACAAGCATAAACCTTAAGTCGGGAGGACCCTAGCCTCAACTTGGTTGAAGAGTACCTTTCTGATAAAGCTGACAGGAATCAACACTGACCTGAGTCTAGGTTGCTGACTAGTGCTAACAGGGAGCCAGTCTGCATTCCTCCACACCCTATGCTGTTCTACCTGTGTGTGACAAGGAATGTTGATAACCAGTCTTTGCAACTCTGTAGACTGAGCTAAGAAGTGAGCAGTGTGCATTGGCAGTCAATTTACATCGTTTTCAGTCACAACAAATTCCTGGCCAGCATCATAAGCAAATATCACAACTAAAAATTATTCAAACACTGAAAGATATAAATAGAAGTCTTGATTAAAAGAAATCTCTCTTAATATAAAAGTTGTTAGGGTTGTAATTTGTAGGTTCTCTAGAAAAGTGCCATTTTTGCTCTTGGATAGTGAGGGCAAATTGCTTACTAATTTTTATGATGGCCTTTTGATGGAAATAGACAAGCCTGGATATACAAATAAAAAATTAAGTTTTACTTTAAGTTCTCTACCCTTTGCTTTTTCATCTCCACCCTACCCCACTCACTGTTGTATTAAAATTGCTAAACACTGTGACCACTATTTACCAGTTTGAAGACACTGACAGGCTTTGGTTCACACAGAAGGATCAATGCAAAGCAGACAACAGGAAAGCAATTAGTTTTGTTACTTCAGTCATACACAAAACATAAACCACACCATTTCTCAGAAGCCTGTACTGATTATTTCTCAAGCCAAACAGCTTGCCTGAAGATGTTCGGGCCTGAAGGAAAACATCAAGAGGATGGAAGTGAAAATAAATCAATTAATAGTTAATTTATTCACTCACTCAAACGACTGAATACTAAGAAGAGCTCAGATCTTAGGGTGAAGCAATAGCCACACAGCTCAAGCCAAAGCCATCCAATTTCCCACGAAGAATGCATTAAATGTACAATTTACATGCTTTAAGACTTCAATCAACTTTTCTTTAGAATATTCATACCTTTAATATTATATAGGAGTGGATGACTTTTACCCAGTACTCAATTCTCTAGGAAATTATAAGAATAAGGTAATCTCACAGCAACTGCTAAACTGACAACCATGCCCACAGTAAAGGGGCATACAGTGACACAGAAGGGTGAACCATCTTTGTTCAGTCATAATGCCTAGAAGTGACTGAGACTGCAATTGAGCCCAGGCAGCCTGACTCTGAGCTTTCATTTATCTGTTTATATATGTCCTTCCTCTGAAGAAATAGCTAAGTTTTGCAATGTCATCAAGTAATGAGACCTTCTGGGATGAATTATTTAATCAACTTAAAATTGTTTTCAAGCATCCTCAGGCATCACTGAAGCACCACTTACTTGTTATCTCTTGTTTATTGATAGAGGGCCAGAGATGAACTGGTTGAGGAAGGGTATTATAAAAAGACAACTGTTTCCTGCCACCAGGAAACCAAAATGGTATACTATTAATGTTTCCTCATCAGTTACCAAGGGAATTTCTGAGAGATGAGGCTGATTTGGTTTGTTTGAAAAATCCATCAAATATTCAAACAAATAATCTTACTTAGAGTGATAATTAATAGATACCTGCAACTTTAGGAATAAGTAAATAGTGGAAAGACATTCTCTCAGGTAAATGCACTGAGAAATTTGTAAAATCCATGCCCACGTATACACCTTTTGACCAAAATTTTTATTCTTAGTTTGTAACATGATGTATTAAAACACACTGCCGTTACACAACAGAAAATTCACATCAATCAGCATCTTCCTTTCTTCATATACTACCATTATTATTATTATTTATCTAGCGAGAATGCTGAAAATGTAGCTGATAGGAATCATGAAACAGCAAACACTGCTGTCAACAACAGTCCCTGTGTGGCACAGATATTATGAATTTGTCCCCGATCTAACTGAAAATTTAAGGTGCACTTGTCTAAAAGTAGCTCAAATCCTTGTGAGCAGGGACAGTAGGATGCCTCAGTGGGTGTCTTAATTTCCTTTCCTACTGCTATGACAAAATGCCCTGACAAAACTGAAGGGAAAGGGGGCTTATTGGGCCCACAGTTCCTGCTACAATCCATCATGATAGGGAAGTCATGGAGGAGGCAGAAGCTTGAAAGGACTGGTCACATTCCTTCATGGTCAAGATCAAAGAGTTGATTAATGATCAGCTCCATTTCTCCCCACATATAATTCAGAATCGCTTTCCCAGAGAGTGCTGTGGTGAATTGCCCTCAGTTAACATATAATCCCTCACTGGTATGCCAACAGACCAATTCAATCTAAGCAGTCTCCCTTAACACTCCGTTCTAGATGTGTCAAGCTGAAAACAACTAGCCGCTGAAGTGAGCAGAGATGCTTTCTGTTCAGCCTGAAGGCTTGCCTTTGATTCCCAGAAACAACATGATGGAAGAACCTACCCTTGCAAGTTGTTCTCTGACTCAACATATATGCACACATATACACACACATGCATACACTAAATAAATGAATAAGTGCAAAAAGAACACAAAAACCTCTTGAGCAGCTCAAAAGTTTATATGTCAAGCACAGCTGCCTAACCTTCCAAAGTAGACAAACTGAGGAAGACGAAAGCAAAAACAGTCCTTGACTTAATTCCAGTCTGCAGATGCAAGGGAACATGCTGTTGCTTAAGATACAGTGAATAAGGATACTGTGATACAGTACTGAGACAAAGCAACACTACCTCAGGCTCCAGCTTCAGCAGTGGATTAGAAGCTATGTAATAATGTGTCATAGTCACAGGATATTCCCACAAGGGCTCATTTAAACCTTTGTTCCATGAATAGTAGAGAAGTTTACATAAAAATAGTGATCTGTGGTTTATAGAGTTAAAACACTGGAGGCTAGTGAGATGGCTCAACTGGTAAAGGCACTTGTCACCAAGCCTGATGACCTTGATTCCCAGAGCTCACATGGTGAAGGGTAGAACACAGCGCTTAGGTGGTTCTCTGATTTTCCCCAAGTATACTGTTTTGGATAAGGGCGTGCATGTGTGT